TGTTCTACAATGATTCCTGAGTATGTGCTACTGGTCTGGTGTGGTAAAGTGTCCTACCATGGTGGACGGAATAAGGCTGCCCTCCCCAGAAACCTTTTGCAAAGGCTTTGGGAGTACATCCAGGAGAGCCGCAAATGCCAGGGCAAATTGATCATTAAACATGCTTGCTTTTAAACCATGTACAGTATTTTAAAAGGTACACTCACCAGAGGTCCCTTCTCCGCCTGGCGGGTCCGGGAGGCAGCCTTGGGGGGGTTCGGGGGGTACTGGCTCCAGGTCTAGGCTGAGAAATAGTTCCTGGCTGTTGGGAAAACCAGTTTCTCCGCTTGCTTGCTGTGAGCTATCTACAACTTCATCATCATCATCTTCCTCGTCCCCAAAACCTGCTTCTGTGTTGCCTCCATCTCCATTGAAGGAAGTCAAACAACACGGCTGGGGTAGTGGTGGCTGAACCCCCTAAAATGGCATGCAGCTCATCATAGAAGCGGCATGTTTGGGGCTCTGACCTGGAGCGGCCATTTGCCTCTCTGGTTTTCTGGTAGGCTTGCCTCAGCTCCTTAAGATTCATGCGGCACTGCTTCGGGTCCCTGTTATGGCCTCTGTCCTTCATGCCCTGGGAGATTTTGTCAAATGTTTTGGCATTTCAAAAACTGGAACGGAGTTTTGATAGCACGGATTCCTCTCCCCATACAGCGATCAGATCCCGTACCTCCTGTTCGGTCCATGCTGGAGCTCTTTTGCGATTCTGGGACTCCATCACGGTCACCTCTGCTGATGAGCTCTGGCCAGCGTGGCAAGCTGCAGGTGACCATGCAAACAGGAAATTGAAATTCAAAAGTTTACAGGCCTTTTCCTGTCTACCTGGCCATTGCATCTGAGTTGAGAGTGCTGTCCAGAGCGGTCACAATAGAGCACTCTGGGATAGCTCCTGGAGGCCAATACCGTCTAATTGCATCCACAATACCCCAAATTCGACCCGGCAAGACCGATTTCAGTGCTAATCCCCTTGTCGGGGGTGGAGTAAGGAAATCGATTTTAAGAGCCCTTTAAGTCGAAAAAAAGGACTTCATCGTGTGGACGGGTGCAGGGTTAAATCGATTTAACGCTGCTAAATTCGACCTCAACTCCTAGGGTAGACCAGGGCACAGTATGCAAAGTTACATGCCCTGTTGTGTGTAGAGGACATGGTGATGTTTAAGGAGATCAAACTGGTCCTCTGTATATATCCAAGCTTTATCTTCTTGGAGGTATCAAAACTATCATTTGAAAACAGTTGTCCAAATTTTCCAGATTACATGCCAAATTCATCCTTAATCTAACTCCACTGAAGTCAATTTGGTTACACTTGGATGCACTCCGTCCAAACAGTCCTAATTGCACCTACTCAATAGTCAGAGTAGCAGCGTGTTAGTCTGTATCTGCAAAAAGAAAAGGAGGACTTGTGGCACCTTAGAGACTAACAAATTTATTTGAGCATAAGCTTTCGTGAGCTGCAGCTCACTTCATCGGATGCATTCAGTGGAATGAAGTGAGCTGTAGCTCACGAAAGCTTATGCTCAAATAAATTTGTTAGTCTCTAAGGTGCCACAAGTCCTCCTTTTCTTTCTACTCAGTAGTATATCCATACATTTGGTAAGACAAGGCTTTCAGTTGCCTTCAGGAGCTGTAATGATTTGTGTTTTATTCTTGCTTTCTATATTTCTATAATCTCAAATAGATGAAGCTACTGTTGCAGGCCACAACAGTCAAGGTGGCAAATATATTTAATTAGAAATAGGCCTGAAATGCAAACTCAGATCTGGAGCTGAACTTTTCCCAGAGTTTGTGGATATTTGGGTCTCTGGCCCATCTCAAATTTTAATGTGTACCTTTCCTGATTTGCTCTTCACTATGGGCCTGACCCTGGAAAGTGCTGAGTTGACTTCACTGAGGGATGAAGAAACACAGAACTTCCCAAAATCAGAACATTCCCAACATTTTGGGGAATTTGCATTTGGGAACTGTGCCTTCTACTTTAAAGCCATGGATGCTGATCTTGCAACTATAATAATTTCATCTTCTGGCTGGATAAATTCCTGCTGAAGTTCCTTGTTTGGTCATTTGAAAATTACATTTGTGTCAAAATAAAAACATAAAGACCAGATTAGTCCATGTTGAATTTTATCTCTAGGTAGGCACTCTTGTTTTGGTCACTATTCTGCTCTTTGTTTAGTATTTCCTACTACTGTGGTATCATATAGATCTTTTCTATCCCATTTGTGTGTTATCTAGAATTAATACACATCTGCTTTGTTTAATTATATATTTGGGCCTTTGGGTGCAGTGGCTACTTTTCTAGCCTACTTTATTAAATCCCACTCTCTCTTCTAGATATAATGGAACAATGTGTAAAGTACATTGCATCTTCTCCATGTTTAGAATATCAAAAGACTTAATAAAGAATGATAGAAAAGTGGCAACTGCACATTGACAGGAATTTATTTTCAGAAGGATATTTACCCTGCACATGGTGTATTCAGAATTCACACTATAAAACTCAGTCTGGCGAATACCACCAATAAGAGATTTTTTTTTTAAAATTGCCTAAATACTTGTTTCTACATAACAGCTCTGAAGGGATCTGTCATATAAGCTCTCTTGTACCTCCCTGTGTGCCTTTGGTTGAGTTTTTATAGAGTCTAAATTGAATATAAAGAACCCACATTGCATTACTGCTAATAGGAATTATCAGCATTTTCTGATAGCACCTAACGGCCCTAATCAAGATAGGTGCCCTATTGTGCTGGGTGCTGTCCAAACATGAAAGAAGACGCAGTCCCTCTCCTACCGTGAAGAACTTACAATCTAAGGGCCAGATTTTGTTACCCTTATTCATACTGAGTAAAACCTTATGAGACTCAATAGGCTGCTCTAGGAGTGAGGTCCTGTGTAGCATGACTAAGGGTGGCCCTAAGACAATGCATTTACTTTTTATAAAAAGGTTTGACGCGAAGGGTAATAGAGAGGAAATGGAAATGATTGAGGTCAGAAGGAAGGCAGTGGGGAAAATTGTGGCAGCAAAGGGTAGGAGAGCACGATGAACAGATCAGGGAAATAGTTCAACTGAGATGAAAAAAGTTCCACTTTGAGACCAGAACTCATTTGAAGTGTCTGTCTTAGTTTCGCAGAAACCCTCAACTACTAGTCTGGAGCCTCCAGCAAACAGTTCAAACAAAAGGGATCATAGCTCATGTTCTTATACAGACGGTGTAAAAACACAACAGCTTCAGTTCTTTCCCCATCCTCCATATACAGAATCCAACTAGAACTAAGTATTCAAGAATTTTATTTTACTATTTGCTGGAATCCAACAGGATTTGTCAGAAGTTTCTAGGATTTTCAGTGGCTTTGGAAACATTCCTTTCATCCCTGATAAACAGAGGGGAGATGGTATGTTGGAGATGGTATATTACAACTCGTTTAAACTGTTCTGTCAACTGGATTGAGTCAAGCCCATGGAATATTAGTTACTGATAGTTACAGTTCTACCGTCACTTTTTAAATTAGTGAAAGGTGACAGATCGATAGCCCTCGGAAAGGGAACTATATATTTACAAATACATAGAAGAGATGCAGTGTATGTAGGGCAATGCAAGCAGCCAATTGTTGCAATGTGGACACCTGTTCACTTAGGACCTGGATTGACACCACAAACCCTCTTCATATAGGTTATTCAACAGCCAGCAGATAGTAATGACCTTCAGATACTATCAACCCAGTTCAACCTTGTGGATTAGAAGTGAAAGGCCCCATATTCTTTTACCAATCTATTTGAACCATCCAATTGCTTATCATTGATTTTACTACCAAGACCTGATCCTCAAATCCTAGAAATATGCAGCAACATCACCAGTAGTATCATTTAGAAAAATTCTTTAGTGCAGATTTGACCCTTGGTTATCCCAATTTTTTCAACAGTGTGTGCAAAGGGTCAGTTTATTCCAGAAAACTTCTACAGCGTCTAGTCTGCCAGCAGGCCTCACAGAGCCATTGCATCTTGAAAAGTTGGCAGTGGTGCTGGGGAAACAGCATGACCGGGGGGTGCACAGAACATCCCTTCAACAGCCTTCACCAGCAGGTCTCTCTGGAGCCTCGATTTATAGCCTCTCTACCCAACATATTTAGGGCTGGGCAAAATTTTTCAGATAACTTTTTGTCAAAAAATGCGTAATCTGGTTAACTGAACAATTCACCAAATTGTTTTGGTCAGGGGGAAAACATTCTGAAAAACATTCAAAGAGTTTATTTTTTCTAAATGAAACATTTTGATTTTTTGATTCAAAACAATTTTTTGTTTCAAATTTTACTTCCATTATGTTTATTTAAACATAAAGTGACTCAAACAAAATGAAATGAAACACTGCAGGTCTAACAAAATGTTTAGTTTGATGTGAAATTAATTATTTCATTTTGCTGGGTGGGGGTGGGAATCATGACAACCTGAAACAATTTTCCCCTGATTAATTGATTTATTTTGTTCTACCGTGAACCAAAAAAATTGTAATTCACACAACGCTAATAAGGGGGATCGTGGTGGGAGCTGGCCTCCCCTGGAGATGAGTCCAAACAGATTACTATGGAAATCGCACATTTTTGAACTTGTCAGGTGGCATCTGGCCCCAGATATGATGTATTCATACTGTCTGCCTTTTCCAAATGTCATCACAAAAAACAGTGCCACAGATCTTAGCACCATGTGCTGTGTTCCCAAAAAATCAGCATTCTCAGTCATCAGCATTCGTTTCTAGAGTCTCTTGTATTTTGTTAGCTGACAGTCTGGCTCCTTTAATTCCCTCCTCTTGCTGTCATAACTTCTTTTCAGGTACCTACAGACACAGTATGCTCACCCAGATATTGGGTTTTTCAGTATAACAGTTTTTCAGCAATAGACAAGTTTGATGTACCCAGCTTCCCAAAGCAGTACAAGATTCTCTGGCAAATCCTTTACTATTTTAGAAGATGGCATAAATTGTGTTATGGCTCTTTATTTCTCTCTCTCTTTCTCAGAACAGAGTAGGATTTACAGTTATACAAGTGGCGCATCAAAGGAAATAAAATTCATTTGTCAGATTGTACCTAGCAAGAGAAAAGCAACAGGATTCTTTCTGCGTGTGGGTGTTCTTGGCCTTTTTACAGCAAGGTACATGTTTTTAAAAAAGATTTATACATTGGGGTTCAGGACTCATTCTATTGGAATCATCAGTCTGCATAGACTTGGCATATTTAAACTGTGGAAAATTTCAGGCTGACATTTGGAATGGAGTGAAACTGTTTAAATTGCATTTGAAAGTAAATTTTCCATAGCCCTTTTTTCATCTGCCTACCATGAAGCCAGTGAGCACTATTCTAAGCAGCCTGCAATATGTCTAGCTGAGGAGATGTCAGCCTAAATCCTTCATAGATGGTACACTATATATGCTTTGTTGATTCAATGTACTATATTAAGAAATTCCTTGAACGTTTTGCAGGGGTGAGGCTGTTGAACCTTTTAACAATTATTCTGGGCAGTTTTTCATCGTATTTTATGCTTGTGAGGGGGGAACAACCTCAGGGGACTGTCTCCCAGTACAACTACTGAAAGCAATGGAGTTGCATGGAAATCAGTGGAGCTCTGCCAGCATAAAACTGGAGTATTGCATTAATCTGGTGAGTCGAGTCCCAGATTAGAAATTCTTGGATTCCCAGGTTCACATTCTTTCAGGGTCGTGTCAGCCCAGTGTAGAGCCAGCCATTGAATAACTTGCTGTTTACCGTGTATAGGTACAAAACAACCTCAAACGTTAAGAACTTTGTTTTCCATAGTAAATATGACATGTCATATTCAGTGAGATGGTCATCCCTGGACTTCAGTGTTTCTCCATGTGTAATCACAGACATGAATATTGAATTGATTTTGTTAACTTGGATGAAGTGAGATCTCACTTATTAATTGTAATGGGTTTGAGTTGATTCTTAGGAGTTTTGAGTTCTTAATGTAGGAGCTCTGTGATTCTAGGAACCACATTTACATATCCTCAAACTGTAAATTACTATATTCAAAGCTCTTCAAGAGTCAATAACTCATTTTATTTCTTACTATATCATTCATAAAATATTTTATTTCTCTTTCAGAAACATAGATAATCCTTCATCCATTTTATTTGTCTTGGTGGTGGGGTTTTTAGTGAGCATCTAAAATCTCATTAGTATTTGCAGGTCAGAGAAAATGTTGGAGAACTAAGGGCCTGACCCAACTTCTGTTGAAGACAGTAGAAAGAGTCCCTTTGATTTCAGTGGGAGCTGGGCCAGGTTCTAAATGTTCCGCTATTCCATTCCATTCACTCCGTTCTCAGTTGTATGTATTCTCTTATTTTAATACCGTTCATATGGTACACTGTGCAGTGCTCCAAAACAGGAAGGTGAAGAAGAGGAAGAAGATATTGAACAGGAAGGGTTGGTGATAGAAGCCTATGATGTTCCTAGAGTGAGAATTCTTCTTTATCACAGAACTATTAAACCAAGACAAATTATATAAAACACTTTTTAAATACTATAAGGAGTTCCACTCCCACTTTTAGCTGGAATGTTGTATTCCAAAATAGTAGGAAAGGCATCAAGTGGTTCAAATAGGAGACTGGTAGCCACAAATCGTGGGTTCTATTCCTGGCTCTGCTACAGACTCACTTGTGGCCTTGGGCAAGTCTTTTACGCCTCTGTAAAATGGGGATAAAATAATCAGAGGGATCTTTAGAGATTTAATTAATGGTTGTAAGGTGTTTTCAGGTCCTCTAATGAAAAACAAAACACCATTCAAAGTATTAGCATGAATATACATGTCAGAAAATATTGAACATTGACTTAAGGTTATTGTTTTCTGCATTAAAAATTTTTGATAGAGGCAGGTGATGTCTCGTCTGGAAATGTGTGTGGATTTATAGACATTGTCCTTTAGACAAAGTAACATGGCTCTTTCTCCTGCTTATCTCCAGTCAGTTTACTCAATCTTTCTCTACATAGCTGCAGTCCTTCCTTCTGCAATACTTCAGACTTGGGGGCAGGGAAGCAGACCAGATCCTCAGCAGCAACTAAGCTCCACTGAAGACAATGAGACTAAGGTAATTCCAGCTGAGGATCTGGCCATTCATTTTTTTAACTGTAAACATTGTTTTTGTCTTGAGGGTGGGGAGAGGAAATGTTTGTGTCCTTATACTTAACACACACTGTCTTTCTCTCTCTTTTTCCAACACGTCCCATACTGCAGACTTATCTGCTACCTACTTTTCTCAGGTGGTTGAAAAACCTCTGCTTTTGATGGGCAACGTATCCAAGTCGAGCTTCTCGTGTGTCACTGTTTGTAACGTCGCAGTTACGCTTTCTTTAACTTGACTTTAACAAAACCTTTTGCAATACTCAAAGGGGCAGAGCCTCACCTGTTGTAAATTGACATAGGTTCACCAAAATTCGTGAAGCTTCGACAGCTCACACCAGCTGATCTGTCTGAAAACATTTGTCTCTGTTTTAAGTAGGAGTTCCATGTGAACTGGATTTACTGTAGGGCCTGTAATTTCAGCACTGGTGATTTGTTCTTGAAGGATGCTTCATTGCTGGCCATATGATTTGGATATAAGGCTGTTGCTGGTCAGTAGTTTCCTGACTTCTACAGGAATTTGTTGAAGGGTGCCTTGCTTTTCTTCGTTTCCTTTGGGTGGCAACCTGGCTATTTGAAAATCTAATTTTTCTTGATGAATTATTTAGTGCCCCTTCTGTTTGTGTTACCTCAGGTATTCATTCTGGTGAAATGCCCTTGGAGATGATCACATCAATGTCTTTCTCACTCTTGGTTCCCTAGTACTGCATCTGTTAACAGAACCAGAGCATAGCAGTAGCATGACTCTCAGTTGCACCATGATATAAAGTTTGACAACTCTGATTTTCAGGGTTGTGTTGAAAACCCTTTGTCCTTTCACGGCACAGAACACTCATAAAGATGCTGTGGTCATTTTTACTTTAGTTATCTTACCAGCTTCTGATAATCAGAAACATTTATAATCTCATTATGCACAAAAAATCTTTCAGTTTGATGACTGATACTGTTTGACCCATGACTAACCAGCCTGGTTGCATATTGTAATTAAAAGTCAAGCTCGGAGAGAGAGCACCACTGTACTTTATACTGAATATTTAACTGGTGTCCTTGGCAGGGAGACAGAAACCTGCACTATAGAATTTAAAATGGCCTTCAAAATCAGAAACTATTATCCACAAAAAAGATTTATTCTCAGTTCAGCCATCTATAATTACCATACAACATCAAGCGTCTGTCTATCCTATTTGTTGCCAAGATGTGACTAGGACTATGGTTGTCTTCTCTTTATTTTTATCCCAGGTACTACCACAATACATGTGCTTTGCAAATATAATCATTCCCACCCATTTCAAGCTATTAGCTCTTCAGTATCAGTGTGGCTTTGACACGTGTGCATTGATTTTATTTCTCTCCCTTTAAAGTTTATCAGCAAACCTGAAATGGAAGTATTTTGTGTGTGTTTTTAGCAATAGCTATTACTTTCATAGCGTATGAGGCCAGATGGGACCACTATGATCATCCAGTCAGAACTCCTGTATGGATGACTGGGTGCAGGAGCACTTCCTTGTCTCCAGGACAACAAGTGGTTAACACAAGTATACTTCCCCATCCTCTTCAGCAGGTGCACTGGAAAAAGGTGTATAAGGCCCAAATCCACAAAACTACTACTGAGTGCAAGGGACAGGACTACATGACCTCTCGAAGTCCCTGCCAGTCCTCTGATTCTACTAAGGTGCCTAAGTCTTAGATGTAGGCACTTAACTCCCAGTTTTACTCACCACAGAGATTTACAACACCCCTGCTTGGCACCTGAACTCACTAAGCCCCTAAATTTTGACTGTAAACATTCCCTAGACTCATGTGTGCTGCTGCTTCCCTCCAGATGTCCAGGTGCCTATCTCTCGCCTAAGCCCTAGTGCGATCCCTGAATCAAAGGAAAATAGGTAAAGAAGCACTTATCTGAGCCGAGGAGCCCAGTCAGGTAGGAACATTCAGAAGCTGCCTGCTGGATCAGGTCCCATTCAAAAGCTGCCTGGCAGTGCCCAGTTTTTAGCCCAGTGGTTAGAGCACTCACCTGGGATGTGGGAGACCAAGTTTAAGTCCCCCCTCTCTGCCAGAGGGGGAGAAAGGATTTGAAAAGGAGTCTTTTACCCTCCAGGGGTGTGCTGTCATAGTTAGGCATTGGGCAGAGAAAGAAAATTACAGTATGGTCTGGTAGATAGTGTACACATACGGGAGGTGGGAGATCCAGGCTCCAGTCCCCCTGCACCAATGACTTTAATTACTTTTACACACTGGAGCAACAAGCCTGGTGAAAACACAGCCTTTGTGTAACACATCGTGTACTCAGATCGGAGATTGTTTTTAAGATAGTGGTTTGATAATTACCAGGTATAATAGACCAGTGATGGCTGTTTCTAAGGCCTGGATCCATAAAGGGCACAGCAATCCTATCTCCTAGGTGAGTGCCTTAGCCAGGAGGCTGCTGAGTGATTTACACATACACTCTCTCTGGCCAAATGACTATTTAAGTATTTATCCAAATTGGAACATGTGAGGGGGCGTTAGCCCCACACTGGCCAGGAAGGGGTTAATAGAGCCCTAGGCTGCAAAAAGCAGCCAGTAGGAGAGGGACTGTGAGGAGCGGCCACTTAAGGCCCAGCAGGCCAATATAATCAGAGCTCCAGGGCAGAGCAGGGTGAATAGCTGCCTGGAACTCAAGGAGGGAAGACTGTGTCTGGTGTAGGCTGCTAACACCTTGGACAGAGCAATGCAGGCAGGAACCCAAGGCAAATAGAAGGAGTTCTGGACGGGCTGCTGAGACTGAGGAGTGTACTGGGGCCATGGGAAAGTAGCCTGGGGAGACATAGCAGTAGGGAAAGTAATTTGAGGGGCAGCAGGAGACTGCAATCCACAGGGTCCCTGGGCTGGGACCTGGAGTACTGGGCAGGCCTGGGTCCCACCCACTCGCCACTGGGAGAAGGACAGGATAATTGACTGCCGTCACCACTGGGTTAGTATCTGGACTAGAAGCTAAACTACCCAGGAAGGGGGGGAACACGGAGAGTGACATGGCTGGCGGGCCGAGTCACGAAGAGGATGCTGCAGTTCCTGACACTACAAGAGGGGCTGCAAGCTGGCTGCGGAAAAGGAGCGACAGGGTGCTGACTGCGGATGGGTTGTCAGCCTCCAGCTAATCCCAGAATGACCAGGAGGAGGTGCCAGTCCGGCGGAGAGTGACGTACTCTGTGACAAACAGCTTCAACAGGAGAGACTGAGGGAACCCTACATCAGACTATCCCATAGCCCAGTGGTTAGGAGAACTGGGAGACCCTGTTCAAATCCTTTCACCTCATTAGGCAGAGAAGGGAATAGAACCTCAGCCTTCCACATCTTGGGTCAGAGTGCTCTAATCACTGGGCTAAAAGTCATAAGGGAGTTGGCACCACCTCCTCCTCCTCCTCTTCCAGTCATATCGTGCGGAGTGAGACAGGTGCCTGACTTATTCTCTTAAGAAATGACTTAGTCACCTAAGCTGCGTGATTCCTGGAGAGGGGTTCCCAGCTGTGGATTGCAAGCAGAGAGAGGTGCCTATCTCTGTGAGAGGGGTGCGACTTAGGACACACCCCTGTTGGCAGCATCTTTCATTGGCTAGCTTAGGCAAGGAACTGCCAAGCATACTGGCTTTTGTAGCTCACTTTCTTGGGTGCCTACCTCTCTCAATGCATTGTACGGGGAGCTTAGGTGCCTAGTTCAGGCATTGAAGATTTCACTGTTGCTCCAGTGATTTTCTAGGCACCTAAAAGTGTTGCAAAGCTAAGCATTGCAATACCTAGGTCCCTTTGTGGATCTGGGCCTAAGATACCTGGGACTGAATGCCTTAAGTGCATGCTTAGTTTTACTCATGTGAGTAGCCCCATTGTCTTCAGTGAGATTATCCATGTGGATAAAGTTAAGCACATGTTTATGTGTTTGCAGGACTGGTCCCTTAATTTGCTTACTTCTTGTAAACATTACCCTTTAGGGAAAAGACCTCTCCGATTCCAACAGTACTCTTTCTGCCAAGCCATTTCACCAACTTACAGTATATATTTTGTTTCGATTCTTTGTTTTCAGCTACTGAATTTCACACCACAACTTGGGGGAAAGACTTTATTATTCTTTTTAAAAATGCAGGATATTCAACAAACATTTCCCTTCAACATCACGGACCATGTTCTAGGAGGTTGTGAGCAACTCCTGACAGGTGTTGAGTGTGCTGCTAACCTGAAGGGGAGTTACTGATTCACAACAGTTTGCAAGATCAGCCCCTATCTGTACAAGCTTTCTCTCCTTGGATTCAACCAAAGAAATTCCTCAGTCTATAACCAGATACAATTTCCTTCTCTTTTTCCCCATATGAGAACATATAAACATGGGGCAGCAAATCCCCTCCCCCCCGGCCCTTCGAGTTTCCTTCAAAACTCTAAAGAAAAGAAGAAACAAAAACCTTGGTAGTTTTTGTAGCTCTTTACAAATGACCTTTTCCTCTGAAGTGGACCATCTGCATTTTGGGGAATATTAAAGATCATCCATATGATGATCTTTGTCTACATAAGCAACAGCATCAGAAGAAATGGTGGCAACAGCTTTTTGACCATTAGTATCAGAATCCTCCACATAAAATATCAGAGGTTATACTATATTTCCTCATGAATACAAGTAGTCTGCAATGAGCTGAGTCCTCCACCTGCCTGGTGCTTGTTCCTCTCTGATGGACCGCAACCTTGTCGTGATGGAGAGGCTTGCGTGAACTCAAGACCCTCAGAGCTACATCGTCTGGAGCTTTCATACCCCTGGAAGGTTCCCCCTTGGTGAGCAGGCCTGAGGCGAGGTTCCTGACTAACCACGGTCCAAACTTCACAAGACCCCAGTGGTGGATCAGGCACATACAGAGGACCTTTTAGTACTCTGCGGCTGTGAAGGTGGATAAGGGCTGCAGCAGGAGGGAGGCCTCTGGTTGTCTTGGATCTCCTTGCCACTGGGTCA